CCTGACCTGCACAGAAGAGTGACCACAGTACTCTTCAAAGCTGCTGGGACTCCCCTTCACAAATTGATTATGCACAGTTGTGGGGAAAGATGTGTCCTCTGGGCAATCCTTGCATGGGAAGAGCAGGTCTTACATGAGAAATTCACTCCAACACTCCAATCTTTCTAAGACTTTGGATGTCTTCTACTGTTTGCAGTTTCTGCAGCCTTTTTTTTTTTTTTTTTTAACCAGGACTGGGAAGAGACTGTGTCCCAAAAGACACACTCCCTTCCTGGCTCCTGTCCACTAGGAGACTTCTGAAAATCTCTGCATTTCAGTGTTTTATATATTGTAGTCCTCATCAGGTACAAGGCAGGTCCTCCCTCAGCTGACCAGAGTTCAACCAATCCTCAATTACCCATAATATGTCCATCAACTCTGGACTTGTACAAAAGTAACTTTTTACGTAGGCAGAGACTGGCTCCTCCCTAGCGCAAAAGAAACAAACCTCCTGAGGTAGAAAGCACCCTGGGAGGTCCCTCAAGTTGCTTCTTGGTAGAACTAAGGCAAAGGTAACAAGTCCTCAGGGTTAGGGAAAAATATCCCAAGATGTATCCCAAAATATCCCAAAGCAAAAGGTCACATGAAGGAATTCACTACACAAGCAGAGGGACAGAAGATGTAGTTCCACATGGAGAACAGAGATGAGAGAACATAAAGTCCCATGAAAAGTGAGAGAAAAATAAAAGTTGAGAAGATATATGGTAGTTCTCGGTTCCAGTTCTTCATGAAGCCCAAGACAATTTATTTTCTCTTGTTCCACGAATCATTTTAATAAACTACAATTTTTGGCATAAGCTGCTTACAGGTAGGTTATTTTATTTATTTTTTACTTTTTTTATTGTGCTTTAGGTGAAAGTTTACAGCTCAAGTTAATTTCTCATACAAAAAATTTATACACATATTGTTTTGTGACATTAGTTGCAATCCCCACAATGTGACAGCACACTCCCCCTTTCATTCCGGGTTCCATGTGTCCATTTAACCAGTTCCTGCCCTTCCTATCTTCTCATCCTGCCTTCAGACAGGAGCCACCCATCTGGTCTTGTGTATCTGATAGAACTGAGAAGCACACTCCTCAAGTGTATTTTTTGTTTTATACTCCTGTCTAATCTTTGTCTGAAGTGTGGCCTTCAGGGGTGAAAGTTTCACTTCTGGTTTAACAGAGGATTCAAAGGCTGTGGTTTCCGGGGTTCTTCCAGTCTCTGTCGGACCATTAAGTCTGGTCTTTTTATGTGAATTTTAGTTCTGCTCCACACTTTTCTCCCATTCTGTCTGGGACTCTCTGTTGTGTTCCCTGTCAGGGCAGTCATTGGTGTTAGCCAGGCACCATCCAGTTTTTCTGGTCTCAGGTGGTGGAGTCCTTGTGCTAATGTTTTCCTTGTATCATTGGTTCTCGTCATTCTCCTTGGCTCCAGGTGGGATGGGACCAATTGATGCATCT